AGAACACACCACCAGGGCCAGTAACACGGATGGATTCCAGACCCTTGGCAGACTTCTTAAAGGTAAACTCCACTGCCTCGCCCTCCTTCAGGCTCCGGAAGCCCTCCATATGCAGCTTACTCTGGTAAAGGAAAACATGGTATTATTATTACAACAAAACTCAAAAGTRCACAAACCTGTTCCTGCAAGATAGGAAAGCAAGAGTGACAGCATTCCCCCTTAAGCAACAAGAACTAAATACCAAGAGTCACCATAAGTAAGAACAACAAAAATCTATATTACATTAACAAAGATTATGATGATAAGTATATGCCAAAACATTGCTTTGCAGCCAATTTAAAGTCCTAAGGAAAAAAAAAGTCTAAGCATTTATAAGAAATCAACAAATACAAAATTGAAGAATATAAAGGTAGCACTATAAAGCCCTTAAACATTTTGTATTCACATAATGCCTCAGTTCTTATATTACCACCAAAAGAATAAGTAACTAGAATATTGGGAACAAAATGCAAAATTAAGCAGTATTTAATATCAAAGCTTTAATGTATGCTTTATTAAAAAAATGTTAAGAAGTAATAGCCAACGAGACTTAGACCACCACCCTAGCTACATTCTTCAAGTTTAGCATTACTGAAACTATAATGGGACACATTGAAAAGGGACACTATTTCTTGGTTCAATGCACCAACCAAAGACATATGACTTTAAACTGCTCACTCTGAATCTAACTCTGAGGGAACATCAGAAAATCCAAATAGAGGGATATTCTATACCAGATATACACACTTCAAATATATCAAGATCATGAAGGAAAAAACAGCAAGAACTATGTAATTAAATGGAATGCAAGATTCTGGATTTTCCTGGAATAGGAAAAAATTAGGATAACTGACAAAATTTGCATATGGAATATGGATAAATGTCTCCATGTCAAATTTGATTATGATCATTGCACTTAGATGATATAAGAGAATGTCCCTATCCTTAAGAAATACACATGGAAATATTTAAAGACAAAGATGCTGAATACTGCAATTTATGGTTAAAAAAATAACTGTATTACAGTTCGGCGCAGGGGTGCACACCTTTAATCCCAGGGACTCAGAAGGCTGAGGCAGGAGGATCAAAAGTTTAAGGCCAGGCCTGGCAACTAGTAGGACCCTGTCTCAAACCATTGAGCTCAATCTCTGGTACCAAAAAAAAAAAAAAAAAGTATAAACAACTAAAACTGTACAAAGATAAAGAGAATGATAAAGCAAATGGGGCGAAATGTAACTAATTGATAAATCTGGGTAATGGTTATATGGGAACTTTTTGTACTATTCTTATATAATCTTTTTCTTTCCTTCTTTCTTTTACCATGGTGACATGCACAGATTTTTAAACATTAACCCAAAATTTCAAAGGTAGAATAACCATGGACTTAGAATAAATTTACAGAATCAAAGACTATATTTTACATGTATATAAACATCAACAAGCCCTCCGTCTCCCTGGTACCTTTTTTGTTTTCTAACATGACAGTAGAGTGTATTTTTATACATAAGTGTTACTCAAAGTTGAAGGATAATGATCCAATCAGGTCCAATGATCCAAGCATGATCCAAGCACGCAGATGAGAGGATTAAAGTTGAAAGTCACAGCGAGATCCCAGACTATATGGAGAAATCAGTAGGTGAGGAAAACAAGTCAAATTTTGCTGAAACAAATTAATTATCCACTTGGAATTAAACACCTAAATGTCAAGGAAAACTATATATAAAGAAGAACTAGAGGGGCTGGGGATGTGGCCCAGTGGTAGAGCGCTCGCCTACCATGTGCGAGGCCCTGGGTTCAATCCTCAGCACCACATAAATAAATAAATAAATAAAAGATGTGGCTCAGTGGTTGAGTGCCCCTGAGTTCAATCCCTGGTGCCTGCCCCCCTCAAAAGGTAAATAACTTACTACCTAAGGCAAGAGGAGGGGCTGGAGACGTGGTTCAGGCGGTAGCGCGCTTGCCTGGCATGCGTGCGGCCCGGGTTCGATCCTCAGCACCACATACAAACAAAGATGTTGTGTTAAAAAAAATAAATATTAAAATTCTCTCTCTCCCTCTTTTAAAAAAAAAAAAAACGCGGGGCTGGGGATGTGGCTCAAGCGGTAGCGCGCTTGCCTGGCATGCGTGCGGCCCGGGTTCGATCCTCAGCACCACATACCAACAAAGATGCTGTGTCCGCCGAGAACTAAAAAATAAATATTAAAAATTCTCTCTCTCTCTCTCTCCTCTCTCACTCTCTCTTTAAAAAAAAAAAAAAAAAGGCAAGAGGAACACAAGTTCAAGGTCAGCTTTAGCAACTAGTGAGATCCTGTCTCAAAATTAAGAATAAAAGGGCCATAGATACAGTTATTGTGTGCCATCACACCTGGTCCTTCTTGACATATTTGACACAGGTCTGGCTGTTTTACCCTCATAAGATGAAGTTGTAATGAAGACTCTTCTAAGAGGAGAGGGCATGGGGAACAGTTGAATAAAATTTGGTACAGCCACAATAATGAATACCATGCAAGTATTGCATGTATATCATGAAAGTAAACCCTGTTGCTCATGTTGGTACATCAGATAATGCCTAGCACATTTTTGGATGAACTAAAGAACAGAGGTAGTTTTTTATCTCTGAGTTTGTCTCCACTAGTGTTGAGATGAATCATATTATTGCTAGGAGTCATGTTGGTTGTTTTGGTGGCTATTTGTTTGGTTTTCTTTGAGATGGGTTCTCACTGTGTTGCTCAGGCTGGCCTTGAACTTCTGATCCTCATACTCCAACCTCCTGAATACCTGGGACTATAAACATGTGCCAAAACACCTGGCAATAAGGAGGTAATTTTAATTATTTAACTTAAAAAACCTGACACTTACAAAGCAGTAAATAAATAGCCTCACAACCTTAAAAAAATAAAGGAGAGCTAGGTGCAGTGGCACATGCCTGTAATCCCAGCAGCTGAGAGGCTGAGGCAGGAGGATCCAGAGTTCAAAGCCAGTCTCAGCAATAAGCGAGGTGCTAAGCAACTCAGTGAGACTCTGTCTCTAAATAAAATACAAAATAGGGCTCAGGATGTGGTTCAGTGGTTGAGTGCCCCTGGGTTCAATCCCAAGTACCCCCCCACCAAAAAAAAAAAAAAAACTTGTAAAAAATAAAGGAGAAGCGGAATTATCCATACAGCTAATTGAACTGCAAAACAAGCATTAGAAGAACCCAGAGTTCCTCACAGTTACTACCATGCTACTTAGTACATCAATACCACATTAGTAGAGGTGACAGTATCTCCCATGCCCTCTCCAGAAGAGTCTTCATTACAACTTTATCTTATTAGGGTAAAACAACCAGAGTGTATCAAATATGTCAAGAAGGACCAGGTGTGGTGGCACACATGATAACTGTATCTATGGCCCTTTTATTTTGAATTTGTGGCAGAATCTCACTAGTTGCTAAAACTGACCTTGAACTTGTGTTCCTCTTGCCTCAGCTTCCCAGTTTCTGGGATTACCCCCACATGTGGCTAACTTACTTCTACCAAGGGTACTGGTTACGAACACACGCTTAGGAGCCATCCACATCCTGCTTTATGAAATGCTGTCCTTCCAGTTACTGGTTCTGTGACCTTTTATCAGTCACTCACATCTGAGCCTCAGATCCAGAAAATGAAAAAAAACAGTGCCTTTCTTTCAACTTCATAGGCTCTAATGAAAATTATATGGAAATATCAAGTATGCAGTAAATACTTTATGTATTATTTGTTACTGTCCCATCATAGAAATATTCCAAAGCTACGGGATTCTTGTAGCTTTTTTCCCCTGGAGAGGAATAAGGATGCTAGGGAGTGAACCCAGGGCTTGTGCACATGCTAGGCATGTGATCTACCACTGAAATACACCCCAAACACCCCCTTCACTTGTTTTTATCCTCAGGGGAACATCCAGGGATATAATGCCTCCCAACACACAGCCCCAGCTTGATGTGGACACGGGGCAAGAGCATTCAAACAGGAAATAAAAACACCTCAGTGGCCAAAGGACCTTTCCTCTTCCCTGTTGCATAGAAATTTAATCTTTGATTGGACTTGTCTATCACTGAGCCAGGACAAGAGATAAGTCTGTGAGTTGGAAGGTATTCGAGGAACAAGACTAGCCTTCTCTCCAGGTAATTCCAGCTGTGATCCAGCAATGCGTGGTTAAAAACAAGGATTAAAAGTCTGAGATAATTCACCCTCCTTTCCAYACTAATTTATAAAATGGGGCATAAACTTAATTTTATGGTGGAACCATGAGGTTTTATGCATGAAAAGTAGTTAACACTTAGCCTCCTAACACACATAAATCCTGGGTGAGTGGCAATTACCCACCTCTTCAGGCTGGTTGGGGGCAGGGTAACAGGGAGAACCAAGTGTCAAGAGACTCAAAATGAACTCTGGTTTTATCACTAACCAGCTATGGAAACCAGAAAAATGTCTCTTCCGCAAGCTCCAGTTTACTGAATCACTTTTAGAAGCAAGGGGGTTCTATACATGGGGACAGGCACTATAAGATTAAGTCCTCCTAGGTCTAGTCATCACTGGAAGACTCGAGGTCTGTTAAGAAGACTTACAAAGAGTACAAAACACCCCTGCAGGCACCTCAACATAACCGGCTGGCCAAGATTTAAACTGGTGGTCTCCAGGGGTGGCTCCCTGCCCCCCTCCCCTGTTCCTTTCCAAAACACATAGTTTGAATTCCTCTCTTATCAGATAGGTATTCGGTGGCTTGCAGCCCAACAGAGCCAGCCTCCCAGGGCCTGAATCTGAAAGGAGCCTGAAATTCTTGTACTACCCCCATTCCACCCCCAACCACACACAAAGCAAGGCCCCGCCCTCTCCCCATCCCCTCCAAAGAGAAAAGGCCTTGGGGGGAGGGGCATGGCCTGAGCTCCCCCAATAGAGCCCAGCCCCAGGAAACAAAGAGTTGACACTGGTTGGTTCTGGTGGTCAGATTCCTGGAGTTCCAAGGCGCAGATCCCCTGTATGCTCTCCCCTTCCCCCACATTCGACAGGATCAGTTCTTCCCTTCCTCTCCAGGTTGGGGTTATGGTCACAGTAGGGTAAACAG